AGGACGCTGTGTATTCAAAGGTAACAAGACCCGGGATTGGTTGTCTCGTGAGGACACTGCAAGTCCCACAGCTTTGCATGAAGCTATTATCTGCACGGGTGTAATTGATGCCCATGAAGGTAGAAACATCATGTCAATGGATATACCTAACGCGTTTATCCAAACATTGATGCCCGAAGAGGAAGAAGGAGAAGACCGAGTAATATTGAAAATTACTGGACTGCTGGTTGATTACATGATTGACCTAGATCCGACGTATCGGGATTTTGTAGTAATCAAAAATGGACGTCGAGTGATCTATGTTGTGATCCTCCGTGCTATTTATGGGATGTTACAGGCTTTGTTGCTATGGTACCGAAATCTAAGGGCATCCCTAGAAGAATACGGATTTGTGTTTCATGTATACGATCCATGCATTGCAAATATGATGGTCAATAAAAAGCAATTGACTATCAGGTTTCATGTTGATGATGTGCTAGCGAGCCACATGGAACAAAGAGTTCTCAAGGATTTCTTTACATGGATAAATGAGAGATACGGAGGACTAAAGGAAGTGACTTGCACGCGGGGACGAGTTCACACCTATCTGGGAATGACATTGGATTATTCAAAGAAAGGAAAGTTGAAGATTTGAATGGACGATTATGTCCAAAGAATGCTTGACGAATTTTCTGTCAAGTTTAAGGAAGACGACAAACAGGAAACACCTGCTGGCAATAATTTGCTGGAGGTAGGAAAAGGAAAACTATTGGATAAGGATCAACAGACCGAGTTTCACAGGTTTGTTGCGAAACATTTGTTTTTGACCAAACGTGCGCGTCTGGATATGCATCCGACGGTGGCAATTTTGGCGTCACGAGTTCAAAACCCAAATCAGAGTGATTGGCATAAACTCGTAAGACTTATGAGATACATGCACTCTACCAAGAAATGGCATCTCACGCTGAGCGCTGACAACCTTCGTGTAATGAAGTGGTTTGTCGATGCGTCTTTTGCGGTTCACCCTGACTTCAAGAGTCACACAGGAGGAGTGATGACCATGGGTGGTGGAGCTATGCAGGCTATGTCCAAGAAACAGAAGCTAAACAGCCGCAGCAGTACACATGCGGAACTAATCGGAGTAGATGATGCAATCACACAAGTCTTGTGGACACGCATGTTCATGGAAGAACAAGGCTATCCGATTGAGAAGAATATCTTGTATCAAGACAATATGAGCTATATTCTCCTCGAAAAGAACGGGAGATCAAGTGCAGGGAAGAGAAGCCGCGCATTGAACATCCGTTATTTCTTTGTAACTGATCAGGTTGAGAAAGGAAATCTTACGATCGAACACATGCCGACCGATGACATGTGGGGGGATTATATGACGAAACCTTTGCAAGGGGAAAAGTTCCGCAAGTTTCGGGCATTGATCCAAAGGGATCAGGAAGATTAGATATGACCGTCGTCGGTTATATATACACGTTACATATTAAATGAAGAAAGGATTCGTTATCGCAACTGGAGTCGTCGAAACGACAGGAGTGTGTTGGTGAAATGGGATCTTAATAGTTCAAAGAACAGTCGAACATGTCGGACAGTGAAATCGGACATTCGTGATATGGAACACGGACGGGAGTACGGTTCGAGTACTTACAGAGATGGATAAGTATTGAAGGTAGATCCAGATCTGTGACTAGTTCGTGAAGAACATGTGCATATGTGCTTTATACGCCGCGACAGCTGGTGAGAGCTGACGCAGATGGCTTCCGGAAGAGATTTTTTGTACCTGCTTGTGGAGATCATTGTTGATCGACTTCTGGCAAGAATAGCAGTAGAATACGATCTAATAGGAAGTGGTGATACTGTTCATCCGCAGGTAGAAGCCCAGCATCACTGGCACCTGTTCCTATTGTAGGCAATCCATAGCCGACGTAGATTCGAGCTCAGTATACTCCAGAGGTGGCTAGAGCGTTGAGGCTCTCATTACAGCTACGGAGTTGATTATCTGACACGAGCTAGCGACAACATCAACAGTTTGTCGAACATGGTAAAAGATGGATTTGATGTATTTATGGACACAAAGAGAGAGAACAGCTTCTTTGTGACCAGAAACGGGACTACATGGGGATTTGGACATCGCAATGGGTTATATACTTTGGTTGACGAACCTGCTATGGTAACAACAATGTTTCATGACCATGCACGTGGACTTGATAATTATGATGTGCAAGGGTACTGTGCTCTACAGAGTGTGGAGAAGAACAAAGAGGGTTTCACAAACAAACAAGTGAAACGAGCAAATGTTGCACGAAGTGGCTATCATATGATGGGAGCACCTGGTGCAGAATTATTCAAGTTGGCGATTCGGGGAAACCCTAACCCTAACCCAACCCTTTTTCCCACCATCCCTCCCTTGGTCTTTCATCCTTTGTACCTTTGCTCGGTAGCTTTATTGCCGAGTTTACTCTCATTTGATTCGAGTCCACTATCGACTCTTTCGACTCGAACGTGCTTCCCAGACCAGCATAAGCTAATTCCTTCGCTACAGGCCATCTACCCCCGCGTATCAAACACGCGGTATTCGTAACTCTCTGTAGTGGTGCAATACGTGTGTTTATATACAAGGTCCTACACATCGTTCTTATCGGGACATGAGGTAGAGGCGACGCCAGGTTATCCGCAGGATAATAAGGAAAAGCTAGAAACGCCCATACGTCTCCCGTCTTGCCGATCAATGATCACGTTTGGCACGCAGTTTAGACCGTCTGTCTGTTACCAGATACCCTACGCAAAAGACGCAACACTCATTCGTCATTACTGTACCTATGGTAATATTGGTACTGTACTACCAACAGAACTATGGCGACTGAAGAAGAATTGAACACGCAGATTGCCGAGCTTGGAGAGCAAATCAAGAAGGCCAAGCAAGAAAAGAAGCCGAAGGAAGAATGGGATCCCTTTCTGAAGGAAATGCTCGCTCTCAAGGTAAGCCCATCAAACGATGCATTTAGATGTGTTGGCCGCGAATGACTGATCTAACAGATCACTCGCATTATCCAAAAAGGCAAAGTTCAAGGAAGTCACAGGTAGGGACCATGGGCCCCAAACGCAAGTACCAAAGCCAAAGGATTCGGGACAACAGGAAGCATCTGAGAAAAACAAGGAGAAGAGAGCAGCCAAAGCTGCATCCAAGGCAAAGAAAGAGGCCGAAAAAGCCGCTAAGCGAGCTGAGCGAGAGCGCAGAGAACGTGAAAAGGCCGAAAAGCTTGCTGGTATTGGCCAGGGCAACTTTGGAGATGCCAAGATGGTCAAGTCTCACGAGATTACCGACAAAAAATGGATTGAGGTGGGTAACTTGAAACCCGCGCTTGCTGGACAAAAGGTGCTTATTAGAGGATACATCCAGGTCTCTAGAGGCGTTGGGAAGGGCGTTTTCGTTCTCATTCGTTCCACTTTGTACACGGTTCAAGGAGTTGCCTTTCAAAACAAGACTGTTTCGCAAGGCATGGTCAAATACGTTTCTGCACTTCCTGTCGAATCCGTTGTCGATGTGGAAGGAACCGTCACTGTGCCCGAAAACCCTGTCGAATCTGCTACGCAAAAAATGGTCGAGATTCAAATTACATCGTTCCATTGCGTTTCGAAAGCAAAGCAGGCTCTTCCATTTTTGATGGAAGATGCCTGCCGTCCGGATGAAAAGAAGGAAGCCGATGTTGGGGCCTATGACGAAAATGAAGAGGTGAAACGCGAAGACGGCTTGGTCCGTGTTGGCGACAAAAATCGTCTTGATAACCGCTGGCTGGACTTGAGGACTCCCGCCAACCAGTCTATCATGAGAATTGAATCAATGGTCGGATGCCTATTCCGGGAGTGCCTCCTTTCAAAAGGATTCATTGAAGTTCACCCCCCCAAGCTTATTGCCGGTTCAAGTGAAGGTGGGTCCGATGTTTTCACTTTGGACTACTTCGGTCAGCCTGCATGTTTGGCCATGAGTCCACAGTTGCACAAGCAAATGGCCGCAGCATGCTCTGGATTCGAGCGCGTTTTCACTACCGGTCCTGTCTTCCGGGCTGAAAACTCGAACACGAGAAGACATCTGTGCGAGTTCACTGGGTTCGACATGGAAATGGCTATTCATGAACATTATGACGAGGTTATGGATGTCTTCTCTGACTTATTCATCCACATTTTTGACGGTATTAATGAGAGATGTAAAGCTGAACTTGAACGTGTTCGTGAACAACATCCATTCGAGGACTTGAAATATCTTCGACCAACGCTGAAGATCACATATGCCGAAGGGTGTACTCTTTTGCGGGAGGCAGGAATTGACCAGGTAAGTCGGTTAGTGTATGGAGGTGCCCAAGCAGTTCTGGTGATAATCCCACTGACACTGCACTGCACTGCTTGCCCAGGATGACTATGAAGATTTGAGTACCGAGAACGAGAAAAAGCTTGGAGACATTGTAAAGGAAAAGTATGACACTGACTTTTTCTTCATGGACAAGTACCCTCTTTCTGTACGACCTTTCTACACCATGCCATGCCCTGACAATCCCAAGCTTTCCAACAGTTACGATTTCTTCATTCGTGGGCAAGAAATCCTGTCTGGAGCTCAACGAATTCATGAACCCGATTTTATCGAAGAAAGAGCCAAGGCTTGGGACATCGATCTGTCAACAATCGAAGAATACGTGAACTCTTTCCGCAATGGGGCTCTACCTCATGGCGGGGGTGGTATTGGGCTTGAGCGAGTAGTGATGCTTTTCTTGGGACTTCCAAACATCAGAAAGGCTTCTTGGTTCCCACGTGACCCAAAACGTCTAGCACCTTAATCTTACAGACCGAGAAGGGCTATGTCCCTTTTGGTAGATGTGCAGAACGGATTTTAATGGTTACTTTTGGTAGATATGCAGAACAGATTTCTCAGTGATTAGTTTTATAATCCCTACTTGTAATCTTCTCAACTACCAGTACGACTTTCAGCAGTTGTTCAATTTACTGTTCTGTTTCGTTGTTTGCTGCTAGTTGCGAGTCAGGGTTTCGGCGTCCTACCCGTGTTGACGGCCGTAGGTCAACTATCATTATAGTCATGTTATCACCCCCAATCCCTTGTGTTACTCTTGGATCGTCACTGATAATCTCATCCAGCATCTCAATCCCAATTTCAGTTGGTGTTCTCGTGTTAATTCGGTCTCTGACGAACTGTACTGCGTTCTCGTTTGACAGGCAATCCCAAATTCCATCACATCCAAGAATAATGAACTCATCTTCTGGGTGAAGCACAACCCTGAAGAATTCGAAGCATTCCTTGAGACATCAAAGCCTCAAAGCACGAATCAATCAATAAAAAGAGAGACTTACTGTAGTATATCTGGCTCGGACGTAATAATTTGATCTGCAGGAGGAATGCCTGGAACTTGTTTGTATTTCAGATCACCAATCGAGCGCGAAAGATTCAAGTTTCCGTTCACTCTACCGAATTGGTTTACGAATCCTCCAGCCTTCGTGATTCTTGAACTTTCCACCTGCTGCTGAGGTTTGTGATCAAAGCTGAGCGCTTCCGTTTTCCCTCCGGCCCTGCATAGTACAGCTCTAGAGTCGCCTGCATTAGCTACAGTCAAAATTCTACCTGTTAATACAGCTACAATGGCTGTGGCCCCCGCATGAATTGGATGGTCGGGAAGATTGCAGATCTATCTCAACAGGCACAAAGTTAAGGAACTCCAGAGTAGCGAAGCATTCATATATCCATCTTCGAAACTTACCAACCTTCCATTGTGAACGATGGTTGGTTTTGCAGCCGACGGACCTGTAGAGCGAAAATATGTTAGTCACCCAGGAGCCAAAACGATTGTGGAGTGATGATGGGCTTACCACCCGCACTTTGATTAGTTTCCTCCGAGTTGAGAGGTACAACGCCCTTGTCACCAGACGAAGAGGCGAGGTTCAGGATCCGTTGCATCATGCCAGTGACTGTAGCGGTCTTCTTATCGAGTTCGTCTGAAGTATCATTGCTATCCTGCTCAATTCTTTTCTCATCGCCGTCGAGATTTCTATCAAGTTCTGCCGCTTCTTCCTCTCCAACGCGACCGGTGCTATCATCATCGCTTGTATCAGTATTGTTCCCACCCTCAGTAGGTGCAAGCTCTTCGTTCTCACCTTTTGCATTTCCGGCATCAGTTGATTCTGAACTTGATTTATTGCTCGGGTTAGTCTCTTTAGGTATGATTCCAACGGTTTGGTCGGCAGGAATGGACACTGCACCCCTTCTTTCCCCGGGGAATGGTTTAGAATTTCGCAACGTAACAATTTCATCGCTATTTCAAGAAAACAGAGGTTAGAAAAAATGGCGTACCGAAGTAATCAATGCATCTTCAAATACCCACCGCCTCGACGAGTCCTGTATCATTCGGTCTAGGGAGTGAAATGTATTTCGCAAAGCTAGACCAACAGTCGATTCAGAAGGATCGGAGCTTCTTTGTTCGTCGGAAACTGGAACTCCTTGCTTCCATGATTCTTGTTGCGTTAGAACAGAAACAAGGTAAAGACTGCAGAAGCGGGCGACTTCTGCCCCCCCGTGTCCATCGAAAACTCCAAAAATTTTGGCATCCGACTTGCATTCAGAGTCTTCGCTGGATTGCGGTATCGGAATATCAGTTACAGCAACATGTGCATCTTCCATTGATTTTCGCCACCCCTGCATATCGACAACACCCCATGAACACGGAACATCAGGACACTCCAGTGATTCTCCAGATTCTTCGCACTTTTCGGTAACTGGGATTGACAAATAAGTTCCCATGATAGTGCTATGAAACAATCAATTAAAGCCGTGTCTCTGCCTTCAAGAATATGGTAAAATAGCATTGTGGTCAATTCAAACGGATAATTTTCAATCAATCTAAAGGGAAATTCAGCGCGTGCGCAGAGTGTGCAGTCATCATTCCTGAGTGCTGTACGAGTTTTGTAGCGTACCAATTCCTAAGAAGAGTAATCGTACAGTAAAGAAGTAGGCTCATGTCGGCAGAAGTGTTCATAAAAATCCTGCGGTACGCTTAAATTAAACCAATATTATCATGCAAGAAAGAGACAACTTCCAGATGATCCCCATGGTAGCCATCTCTTTCGGCTTTTCCGTCAGGTTCTAAGAAAATAGTGGATGCACCCAGCCACTTTCTTGCTAAAAGTGACAACTCTGGAAATTGATCTTGATTCGCCTTCCACCAACCCAGTGGGTCTTCGATACGACGATTCGATTTGACGGTTTCAATATACCTATCTACGCTTGTGCGAGCATAGGAAGTGGCATCCTCATCAGAGCAGTTTACATCTGTGCCCTCCACTTCGGCGTCCTCTCCAAAAAAAAGCCCAGCCATCGTAGAAGTTTCCTGCCTTCTGTTTTTGGCGTTGTCTTGACCCTGCTGGTCAATATTCTCCCCACTAGATCGCTTGGAAAGCTTCAATCGCTTCACATTGGCTGTCAACGTTGCCACCACGTCATCCTTTTCGCTGGCTGAAAGACCCTTCATATGGATCAATCTTGGATCAATTGGGACAGTCCACATAAAAGGAGTGGTGCCATTGAGCATTGGTTCGAATGCCTTCTCAAAAGCAGTGCATATAGACTGTCGAAACTGCTCCATACTTGTTGCTTCGAAACCGGAACCCAGAGAGTCATTTACATTCACCTTCCCTAGAACATCATTGATCCTGCGAAAGACTGGTATGGCCATCATTGGGTATGGTTCTACGGATAGTGTTTTCGTAGCGTCATAGAAAGGCTGCAGGATTTCTCTCAGAGCTCTTGCCATCGATTGCTGTTGCATAGTTGGACATGTAACATCTCCATTTTTCGACGCCGCAGGGGTTGGAAGCTCCAAAAAGTCTTGAACCAATTTATATGCATCTTTGCAGTTAGGCACTGCTTTGTGATTCTTGACGTACTCTTGGATCAAAGCAAGGAGTTGCTTCACTGGATCAAGGGAAAGGCATGACATGACTACATGATCCATTGTATGCAAAATGCATCTGCTGGCAAGTTTAAGGGGGATATTCAACTGAGTGGCTGTTTCAGAAAGGTTGCAATCTTCGGTTGCATGTTTCCGAGTAATGTTGGTTATTTTCTTGGAACTTAGTCCGTACTCTTGGAGCGCTTCTTCTACAACCGATACGGGTGATCCACAAGGTGCAACCTTTATGGTTAATGAGTGTCGCTCAAAGACCGCAGTACAGAAGGTGATCCGAACAGAACAGTATTTCATCCCTTGGCATTTAATAACTTCGTAGGCAAGTGAAAAATCTTCGCACAAACCGAGCTGTTGATGTAACTCGGCCTTGGCACTTTCTACTTTCGAACGAGCAAGAACGAGGACGTCTTCTTTCGTGTATGGCTCGGGCAAACCACGAACGAGCTCTTTGAATCCAAGATCATCGACAACCGTGAAGGGGCGAAAAGAACCGACCAGCCATTTCAAAAGTAGAAGCGGCTGAGATTCTCCCTTGGTCACAGTCTTCTTCCTTTTCTTCAGAGGAGGTTCTTTCGCCGACGGCCCAATGGCCTTGGACCTGGTACCATCTGTACCCCCTTCGTTTGTAATATCAGTTTCTCCATCCGTATTGACAAGCCCATGATAGGCCATCATATGACGGCTAATGGTCTTTGATGTTCTTTGGATCAAGAAGAAGAAGAGAAAGACGACAGGATCAAGTGCCCATTGATCAGTGAGAATTGCCAATAAAAGAAATCACTTGCAACCCTGTTTTTTTCATCCTTGGACTCACCCTTTCGTGTAGGTAAACTGTTTCTTGCATTTCAAGCAGTAAGCCGCAATAGCGTCCTTCGACCGCCACTTCATACAACCAGGTGGTGGCTGGTCAGCTGGTCCTGGAGCAACTGTCGTTGGGGAAGCAAAAAGAAACAGAAGAGTCAATGGAAATAACCGAGCCAAAGCAAGTCTATTGTTTCATGGACGTACCCAACTTAATGAACTTCCAAATCGCGGGTTTTTGCATGCGATCAGGGTCGTACAGTCGAGTTAGGATGCTGTTGGGATCCATTTGTTTTGTTCCTCCACCAGGAGTTGTCACAGGTTCTGATGGATCGATGCTATCATCCAAGGATCCACGTCCTTTTGGAGCAAATCGAGCTGGTGGTTCGACCGGGTCGTTTACTTTTGCATGCCCTTGATCGTCCACGAAGTCGGAGCTCTCCGCAGCCTTGATCCTGGAGTCTCCGCCCCCGACATCATTGTTGGCCTCCTTATGTTGAATGTTTTCCATGATGGCGAACACTTTGTCTTTGTCAATTTGCTGAGAGTGTTTGATTGTCCGATTTCAAACTTTTCGTGTAGGATCGGTATGAAACTCTACCTACAGAGTTCTCGTTCGATTAGACTAGTACTGGTAGTTCGACAACCTCGGACACACAACGGTCATTTTCAAATTTTACCAACATGAAAAATGTTCTCTGCCTTGCTGTTCTCGTACTTCTTCTGTTGCCTGCGGGGGTCACTTCAGATGAAGCGACCTGCAATGAGCTTAGAAGCCTAAACACTGCCAATATCGGATTTGCTGGTGGGGACTGTGTTTGCTCTGATCCTACAACAGATACCACCAAAGAAACATGCTCCAGCTGTTTCCAATCAACAACATCCACTGCTTTCAAAGGCACTGCCACATCGACCGCCATTAAAGACAAAACAGGGACGTCGTTCTCACAGCGAACAGATGTAGAACTTTGCTTCCAGTACGAGAACGAAGTTTACAACGGCGCCAAGGTTTGTTACAGTTACTTCTTGTTTGGCTCCAACCGAGACAACCAGTGTACTATCACAGTCAATGGAACAGCGTGCAACGAATGTCAAACCTTCTCAAAGACAACGCTGGCGTTCGACTGTTCTAATGTAAATTATGAGATCCGGCAAGATACTATTCTTGCAACGGCAGTTCGGGATAGTCTGCTGCAGTTCCTGATCAGTACAAATACTGCAACCGGTTGTGTTACAACTAGTAGTGGAGGAGCTGGCAGTTCAAGTGATGGGGTCAAGTTACTACCCGCAACTGTCCCAAGTCTTATTGCTATCATTTTACAGCACATTATGAATTAGAATAAATAGTACTACAGTATTGGGAGAGCTGAATTTGACAACTGAATTGGAACCATCAAGATAAAAAGAGCCGGATAATAATTTCTGTCTATCTGTCTGTCATAAATCTACTCCAACAAAACTAATAGACATCAGACACCACACCTAAACCAACATTAAGATGGGACATACAGTATGAAACCTTTCTGGAACTTAAATGGAATTAGTATGCAAAGTGGCCCGTTTTCTTTTCCCAGGGCAGCTTTGCTTACTACTTGGTGGGCGTGCACGTGAAAACTGAGATGTGCTGTAGTGTACTGTAGTGACCAGCTGAAACGTACCGTATATCGTCTGATATACGGTAACGTCTGTACGTCCCATCACCATATAAACATAGCTTATCGTGGATAGAAGCACAGGATATCGTTTGATGCTTCATGGCACAACTGTTGTTCGTGCAAGGCAAGCATGCGTCTTTTGCAAGATGAAAAAGTTCCAATCATTGTGAGGTATCTGGATCCATGACTCCGATAAGCATATGGCCGCTTGTAGTAGGAGCTGTCCTGGTATAGGTCCAAATTGGTTTGGAACTTGGAACGGTGAAATTTTGGGATATTCCTAACTATGAAGCTTAGTACTTCTGAGTATGGATGCAGAAATCTTAGACGCACAGAACATAATGAATTAGCCGATATCAGAACCTGGATAGAGCATTATTTTAGTAAATGTCATTGACTTGGGGATTACTGGGGTTTAACATACTCTTGGTTTAACCAAGGATTGTTTGACGAGTTCAAAACCACATGCAACGTCGCGTGAAACTCACGCGGGGCGTGCCCGTTGACGCGTGAAACTCACGCCACTTCGCGTGAAACTCAAGCGATGTCTCTTGCGGGATTGCCGGTTGTCGCGTGAAAATTACACGGGGCGTGGCCGTTTCCGCGTGAAACTCACGCGACTTCGCGTGAAACTCACGCGACGTCTCACGCGGGGCGTGCCCGTTGTCGCGTGAAACTCACGCGGGGCGTGCCCGTAACTCACGCACGGGGCGTGCCCGTTTGAGGACGATACTACAGACAGACATTCCTAAAAAAATGTTAACGGACACATTTTAGGCGCGCGTTTTGCGTTGTGGTGCGTCCCAGGTATTGCGGAAAAGTATATGATTTTGATATGCGGAAATGCGCGGTAATGATATATCCTTCAGTAAGTCTGTACAGTATCGGTGGGGTTTGGTGTTCGGGTGTCAGAAATCAAAGCTATTTATTTAGAACCATTTTCGTGCAGCTCCGTGTCGCACCATATGTCGCAGTTTACGACAAATGGCAGCAAACGATTGGATCTCGCTAGGACATTACCGGGCGGCAGTCAACCGAGGAGGAGGATACACGCACACCTTCCTGGCGAAAAATGCAGTGGCTGCTGACAACAAGAACAACCTTCAAGTCAAGGGCCAAGCCGATTTGGAACGGCAAGATATTGTGAAATATCATTCACATTTAAAATGAAACATGGGTCTTTTACTTCCGACTCAATCGACCAGAAAGTTCGACTGAGTGGACTTTCCCTTTCTTCTTTTTTACTGTACTGTAGCCTTTACTGCACGTTATGTCTGCTTTTCGCACCATTTGCAGACCCTACAGTACCCTGTACACTTATACAGTCCACATCATGATCAGACTGCCCACCGTAAAAAACGTAGCTTGTTCTATGGTTGACTTTTATTACATATGCTGTACGTTTACCTGGCACTGCATCGTTGTGCCTTTAGTACATAAAGTCTGTTCAGCACCCGGTTTTCACATTCCCATGCGTGGCATCGCGCGATTTCTTTCCTTCTGTTGAGCCATCAATATCCCAAAATCGATCACCTTTTTTCAATTTCAAATTGTAAACGATGCGAGTACTGCAAATTTTCTTGGCGCTATGCGTGTTGAAAGTATACGCTTTGTCACCCGCAATCGGGAGAAGCAAGAAACAGAATCACTATATCATCGATGGGAATAATCTCTTGCATTCCAAAGGCGTTCCAAGACAGGCTGATGTATTGACAGAGAAACTCAAGCCAATAGCAACTCTCGAGCCTGTTATCTTAGTTTTCGATGGACGGCCTGGTCTAGAAAGGTCTGAAACTGAAGAAGGAAACTTCAGGCGTGTTCAGTTGGGGGAAGGAATGTCCTCCGATGATTTCATTCTGGAAGAGATTGTAGCAATTGCTTCAGAATCGAAAGAAAACCGTGTGAAGCTAGTAACAGCAGACAAGCGCCTACGAACCAAGGCATTACAAAAGGGCCAAACTGTGAAGACGGTCGTAAATCCAGTCACTTTCTGGAAGAAGTACCGACCGAGGATGGGTGGCTTGAAATAGAGATACTTTTGTCATCGAAGAAGTTGATCAGATTCCTCAATATGCTTTTCAATCAAATGACATCTAAACCATACAAAAAGATATAAAGTGCCATAGTACGAACGCCATTTCTAAGGAATGTAATCTTTCGTCAAGAAAGCCTCTTCTAATGTCGCATGTTCTCCGCTTGGTTCGCCTTCATTCCCATCGTATGGAAGTTTTGTTTGCCTTGAGTTTCCATGTTTCCCTACAATGAAACTAGCCCTCCCATTCATTCCATCGACGCTCGTAAAACTCTCGTCGACACTACATTTTGATTCTCGATACGACAGAAACTCAAACTCGCTAAGCTGTAGAGGGGTACCAAGTAGTTTCAGCTGTAGATCACGGGTCTCTTCATTTTTTGTTTCCCACAGAGCAAGAAACTCGGCGTAGGATATAAGGCCATCCTTTGTCAAGTCAGCTTCTTGAATTATTGAATTGATCTCATCTGCTGGAAAGTCCTGGCCCAGCATCTCTGCTAAATTTTGAGCCGAAATGTAACCCGAGTCATCAGAATCGATACGATCGAAAGCTTCTGCAAGCCGCTCCTCGCTAATTGCACCCTGTGCCTCTATTGTCGCAGCTAGGAACTCGGTATATCGTATTCTTCCAGAGCCATCCAAATCCTATAGAATTGAAAGTATTTAAGACCCTGCAGCCACTTACTGTAGACTTTGTGAAACATTCGCTCAATAACTTACAACAGCCTGGAACATCCTCTCGAGATCCTCTTCAGAATGTCCAAACTCTTCGAGGGCGCGACAGAACTCTCCAAAAGTTATTGATCCGTCACGCCGTGAATCATACTTTTGAAATACCTTCCTCAGTATTCCAATTTCGTCGGTACTGGACCTATGCGCAACAACCATCAAAGCCTATAAACACAGGGTTAGATACGAAGCACGTACACCGAAAGTCCTTCTTCCCAAAGTCTGTTTACCATTTTTTTAAGTTTTGTATATCCAGCATACCGAAGCATAGCAGAGCGAGCCATATTTTCCTCTTCCTGCAGTGGCTCCCGTGTTGTTGAAGCAAACCGCTTGTTCAGCCACGAGCAGGACAGTGCGCTTTTGGCATCAGAACGGTCGTCTGGATCGAGAACAAGTAGATCTTCTATAAAAGACTTTGCTGGGTCTGATATCCGCTTCCATCGACGGCCTCGAAAGTCAAATTGACAACTCAAGATTTGCTCAACAATATGCCGTCGCTTTCTGCCGTAGAAAGGCATTTGAGACGACATAAGCATGTAAGCGATAACACCAACAGACCAAACGTCGGCCTTTGTTGTGTACGAGCCTTTTAAAACCTCTGGGGCCATCGTGTAGATAGTTCCAACTCCCTCGGTTAGCTGAGCATTGTCGCCATAAACTTTTGATAAACCAAAGTCGATAAGCTTGATCTCTGCTTTAGGCGAGTCATTGACGAATAGGATATTCTCATATTTCAAGTCTCTATGTACTATAGCTCTGCTGTGCATATAGGAAAGCGCACCCAACACTGAAGAAAGAATTCGAGCCGCATCTTCCTCGGTGTACGGATCGCGGCTGTACAAGTCACCACCAGAGCACAGCTCCATGACGATAAAAATCTGGTTACGGTGCTCAAATGTCTCCATCGCTCGAACAATGTGTGGGTGATCAAGTTGCTTCAAAATACTTATTTCATTTCTCAGTTCCGAGACAAAGGATGCATCAGTAACACGGTTCAAGTGAATAGATTTCATTGCATAAATGATGTCACTGTTGAGTTTCGCGTTACCGGCAGATTTATTGCTCCCCTGATATGAGTCGTAAATTGAAATAGAGGACAACACTGATGGCTGCTGCTCGCTAACTGGCCACATGAGGCTGCTAGCTTGCTCCGACGCACGAACAAATAGACTTCTCCTCGAGCTATGACCAGCCAAAACCAAGTCACCGTCGAGGCAGCAACGTAGAAAATTGCCTATGACTGGAATCTCCAAGCACTCCTTGTTGCGTTTTTGTCGCTTGACTGCTTCCTGAATACCGATTCTCGCGGATCCACCAATAACGCCTGTCCGCTTACGAACGCTTGCAACGGATCCCATGCTCCCTGCTCCAAGAGTGTTCACGACTTCGTAAAAGAATAATGGATCCCTATCACCTTGTTCTCGCGTGAGATTGGAACGAAGATTCTTAGAATTAAATCTCGGAGTTTTAGATTGACTGCTAGACGAATCATGGCTAAGCGACGATGATTGTTGAGGAAGTGCCCTGATGCAGCCTGCGACATCGTTTTCAGACGACACTTTAGATTCCTCCAAGGCCAGCCTAGAATTAGACGCATTTGAGACTTCAGCTCCATTGCTGAACATTATGCGTCTTATAGCCTTTGCGATTTATCGTTATCTTTGGCTAAGTTGTTTCACTACCATCGCTGCCAGGTCGATTATATCTGTCGAATGAATATTTTCTCCGATCTACTGTATGATACTGTACGGTACCGGTAGGATGCTGCAGCAGAAAGAATTTCTCAATTTCCGTTAATAAACGTTTATAGTTTATATACCCGAACCCTACAGTATGCCTGGTACTCGTACACCCCAGCTGAGATGAGTCAATAAAAATGCAAATGTGACAAAATATCGAACCAAGCAAGACCATACATAATACATATCAAAACATGCAGTGCTTTTCCGAAGGTACTGTACCATGTACCTATGACTAGTTTACGCAATCTCTCCCTCGGCCTTGTAGTCCCCAGCGTCTCCCTCCAAAATGAGAGATTGCTTCTTGGCTTCGTTAGATTCCTTCTTCTTTTGCGTAAAGTAGACGGCTCCAGCGATGACAGCGGCAGCAACACCGATGTACATCAAGATGGTACCGGTGGAGGACTTGGCAGCTGCAACTCGGTGTTCCTCGTTGTACTTTCCGAAAGATCGATAGTCATATCCAGAGTTTTGCTGGTCGTTGTCGTCACGATCGTTGCTATAAATGTTGTTGTTGTTGTTGTTGTTGTTCTGTCGGAAGTTCCATGCGCTCTTGGAAGTGCTTCTGATTGCAGCGCAGATGTCATCTTCGTCATATTGGGCTTCTTCAGTTTCGTTGTAAGCAGTCTCGTTTTGAGCGCTGTTTCCGTTCATCCATGACATCCAGTTTCCGTTAGCAACTTGAGAAGTCATTCCTTGGCATTCGATAGCCATTGTGTTCTCATCTTCAAAGAGGGCTTGACAGTACTCGCTGGCAGCAGGAATGTCCTCGTCACCGTCGACCTCAGCGTTGTTGCCGTAGTACTGGAAGTTGTACCATGTACTGTTATTGCTGTTTTCTTGGTTACTGAAGGGACTAGCGAACTGGATGTTGTCGCACGAAAAGGAGTTCTCAAAGATTCCATTGACAAGGTTTTGAGACATTTGCAGGTACTTTCCAGCCATAGAGTTCTCGGGAATCATCTCGGAAACATCGAATTCGTTAGTGGCAAGTGAACAATCTTCGTCCAAGAAGAAAGACAACTGAATACCAGCGCCGTATTCACTGCACATGTAGCCAACGTACAAACTTTGGCTGTTTTGTTCTTGATCTTCGTCGTGGTTGTATTCTCCATCGGTATCTTCGGCGTATTCACTGTTTTGGTAGTTAACAGAGAACGCTTGACATTGGGAAAGTTCCTCCAAGTATTCGAAGGCAGCCTCCATGTCATATTCCTGGTCTTGGTTCAACTTTCTATTTCCCTCGTCCTCGGTGCCAAGGCAGTTGTAGAGAGCACAAGTGTCACAGTCGACGTATTCGATAGTGGCTCCTTGTTCAGCGTCGTAATACTTAGAGCTGTGTTGGGCATGCCAGCTTGTTGATCCTTCTTGTTGAGAGGCGCATGTTTCTTCAATCTCTTGGCAGACAGTACAGTAGCTCTCGACTTGTTCGTAAACCATTCTTCCAATGGAGTTGACAAAAGTTCCAATATCCATTGCAACTTCTTGAGTTGGGACGGAGCTATCAGATGAGACAAGATCAACGATGAGCATCTCTTTCACCGCCACCGCGTTCTCGTACCACTGGTTGTTCTGGTTTCTGTTTTGGTCATTGTGTTCGTCTTCCTCCTCATCAAGCTCGATTGAGACACAGCTGTTGAAACGGACGCTGTATTGACCGGTTAGGTTGACAGAGCTTGAGCTTTCTTCTTCGTCTTGAAGCGAACGAATATGCTTCAAGAATGCAGCCTTGTTGTCCACAGAGTTCAACTGTCTTTCGATTGCATCGGCACTCAAAGTGCGATGGGCCTCGGAGACAGCTGATAGAACAGAGACGGTGGCAAGAGCAAGAGCAGAGAACTTCATCTATATTGGAAATAAGTAAGTGTTGTGAGGTGGTGCAGTTACAATAGCCTTGGATCCAAACTTGGATGGCCTACCTTTTTGTATTGTGAAATAGTGTGCTAATGAATTGTGTTGAATTGGAAGAAAAAAGTTTGAATCCAAGTTGGGTGTTTGTGTCGCCAATTAAAAATTCAGCGACATCAATTTTGAAAACATTAGATACGTCTCCGAATAATTTTATATTCATTCAATATGCGCAACCAATAAGTCAAAGTTGGAATCTCGCCGATTGAGACTCGAGTCCAATGCGCGCGGGATTCCGGCGTTGTGCCGGTCTTGTCCAAGTTCGAATTTTAGTTTGAAATTAGCTCCGAAAAATGTCCGGAACTTTGAAATTTGGTATTTAAACAGTGGTTGCGCGCGATCGATCGAATGAATCACATAAAATATCGTTGAAATTATTGTAATTGTGACGCGAGTGAGCGCGAGCAGACACCGAATTCGTCTTTGGTTTACTGTGAAGGCAGTCCATTTGAAAAGTTTTAAACTACTCTACTACCGGCCCATCACGTAAAAATGTCAGTACGCGCCAGCCGAATACTTCTTGATCGCCAGCCAGTACGTGTCACGAGTTTCACCAAACCAGTGCCAGGCCAGCCTGGCCAGGAGAATGACATCATTCTTTTTTGACTCACTCGAATGAAGCATATGAAGTGATTGAAAGATTTTGTACGGTACAGTACAGTGCAAGGTTCGACCAGTACTCTCTTGATTATTGCAGTTCCATTTTCGATGGAGCAACAGCGATTCACGCACAACTGCGACCCTTGTCAAAAGATCAAGATGAATGAATATTGATGTGCATTACCTACATATTGATACTGTATCTCGTGGTGAGTCCGTAACGTGACTGACTGGACTGCCGAGCCCCGAGCAGATATATTAGAGCGATCGAAGGCCAACGGTCGTCGCCAATCTCAAGCCCAAGATCAATCATCTATCATCTACTCACAGCTGCTTCAGACCCCCGTAAATACACCCCAATAGCAATATCA